ATTGCAAACCTGAGAGCTGCAGAACACAGCTTATGAGGAGAAACCACCTCCACACTGAGGGCTAGCTGATGACCCAGCAAGCTGCTCCACTTGAGTTTCAGCTTCCACCCAGTTTTGAGCTCACTCAGATCAAGGTAGGGGCTCCATTTGCAGTTGCTGCCCCAGCACGTTCTTCATCAGCTTTTTGCCTCTGGAGTTGAACTCCCAGTTCTTTCAAATACAGGGTTTTTTTGGCAGATTTTATTTTTAAAAACACTTTTCAATTCTGTTCACTGCCACCTGCTACTCAAAGCTTGTATTACCAAGCATCTCTAAAATACAGTCTGAATCATCCAACATGCTTCACTAAACTTGTTCTAATAAAAAAAGTGCCCTCAACTCTTCTATCCCTGATGTTTGTTTCTCATTCCCTGAACTTCTCTAAGAAAAGGAGATTGTACCAAAAAAAAGGTAGGATTATGTTTTAGTCAGCATGCAGCCATTTAACAACAGCTAATGTGGTATGTAGGTTTTCCCAGAGCTGCTCCAAGTTTTGTTTTGTGATTGATTGCAACAAGTAAACAAAGCTTTGTCTTGAAATGAACCACACCCTTCTCACTAGCAGCTGAGAAAGTCTATCATGGAGGTAATTATTCCAGATTAGCCTCAGGTATTTGTAACTGACTTCTTCAGTTTCACCTCAATTAGCTCCTGTCTCCAAACCAGAAGTCTCTGATCTGTCCCTTCCCCATGGGTGACTCAAACATGGTGCTCTGGTGACAGCCAGCACAACTGCTGCCACCAAGTCAGCCAGGCCTGCAGCTCCAAGTTTATCTGATTGTTCCTTGGGATAGATTTTCACTCATCAGTACAGCTAAGCTTCACATGCTGGTTGTTGTCAGCACCCTTTTACCACTCAAAATGCACACAAGAAATGTTTAAGGGTTTTAGTTTCCCATCAGACTGAAAAAACAAGCTGTTTGTAAGCTGGCAGAGGGGACATTTGCACACTGGCCTTATCACAAAAGACCCCTCCCCATACCCTCCCTGTTTACCTCATACACAATTTCACCTCTACTATTGTACTTAAGATTTAGAATTTGGTGAGAAGCAAAAAGGTACAGCTATACAGAGGCCCACACATTTTATAGTAAGACAATTTCCATCTGAGGTATTTGAAAAGCTCTTAGGCAGGTACAATTTCATGTTGTCTAAGCTAAAACAGCCACTTGCCACTGGCCCAGAGTGTATGCCTCACTCCCAAAGTACTACTGCTACACACCGTTCAACGAGTTTCTTTCCTCTTTCCAGCAATTTTTCAAAGGATTACTGAGACGGGTCTGCTTTCCTCTGAGCAGACCCTGCAATTCTAAGGTGGTGTTAAGGCAGCATTTCACACACAGACACACACACACACGCCCCCCTCAGGGACTACTTACAATGAGCACAGCCACCACTGCTCCCTGAATGAGTCCTGTTAAAACATCACTCCAGTGATGCTTGTAATCAGAAACACGTGAGAGACCCACATAGATGGATGCAGAAATGAGACCAAATTGTATAGTAGGACGTACAAGTCTTGCCCAGTCCCCTTTCATTCTGGCCTGAAGGTAAAGCTAAAAGGAAAAGAAAAATCATTATAAAATGCAGTCAATACAGAAGCTGTTAATCATATAAAACAGTTTGGGGTCTGCTCAAAGAGTTGAAATGCATGTTCAGAAACAGCTTAATATGCACAGATGTTCCCAGGGCTATACTCCCAGAAGTACAGAATGGCAGACTTTTATAGTCAGTGCTGGTCTTTATGCTTTACATAACTACATAACTTTAAATTTACATAACTACGTAACACTATCATATAGATGCTCTATTTTTACCAATGTGGCAAATTTCAGGTTAAAGGTGCTGGTAGTATCAGAGCCACTTAGGGCTTAGAGAATCCAGTGACGGTCAAACCAGTATTTAACTCTTCCAGTAACTACAAGTCTTATTTAAAAACAACCAACCAAACAAACAACAAAAAAACCAAACAACACACAAAACAAACAAACAAAAAAACACAAAAAACCCCCCTGTCAAACATCCACATTTACAGTCCTCCAAATCTAGGGAGCCCTAGAGTCTTGCCCAGAGCAGGAAGACTTACTAGCATCCTTACTAGAGGTTACATATCCTATACATGGAGCTGGCAAGTTTTTAGCTTTTATCAACTTTCAGCATAATATTCCACCTGTATTTAAGCACCAGAACTAACCTGATATAATGACTGATAACATCTAGGCTCACATTCCTCAGTTGTTATTGGTGTTTTTTGCTGAGTAACCACATTACTTCTCTGGTAAGCAAGTGGGTATGTGCAGTTCCTGTGCTTTTTCTCTCCACTATTTATGTTGTGTAGACCTGTGCTTTTGATGTGTTACTGCCAACTCACAGCATTTACTACTTTCCCATCTAATGCAGAACACTACTTTTGTCTCCTCTGGTCTGTCTAGGACAGAGACCTCTTATTTCAGGCCTCAATCATGTAAACATGATTGCTTTTATTCTGGAACTTGATCCTGTCACCAAGAAAAGGGACCACAGGTACCATATTTATGGAGAGAAGAACAATGCAGTTGGAAGTTGTATGTAACAAAGTATATCTCTTCAGAACCATCTAGGGACTTCAGGTCAAGTACAAAACTTTAACTGACAGTCTTTCAGAATCCTAGAAGCTGACTAAAACACAGGCTTCAGGCACCAAGACACAACACTGAACTTCTGGTAAATCCCTCCACTGCCACCTTCAAAGCCATGGCTGCCTTTTATAAGCCTTACAATTACAAAGTCAACAGAGGCATAGAGCATGCACTGTAGATGCAAAGGTGCTACTTTCCAAAGTTAAACATTTGGGGAATGTTTGGTTGGTTTCTCTTAACTTACATCATAATTTTGGCATGCTGACTTTTTCAGCTATAAATTGAGCATCACAAAGACCAACCCTGTCCATAACTGGTTTTCCTTAATAGCAAGATGAGGGTGAAATATGAAGAAGCTACAGCTAAGTCTGAACTGGAAAATATTTTTTTTTTACTCTTTAAGTGGAGGGAACTGCATATTTCTGGGGACCTTAACTTTCAGGACTAGGGAAAATACTGTTTAGCCACTTCAAGAATTACGTGTTACACGCTTCTTTTAACAAAAGGTGTTTTGATGGTCTTGTGTTAATACTACTTCTGGATTTACCAACAGGAGATAGAACACTGCCCGAGTGCCAGACAGCAGAGGTAGGTCCAAGGAGCACATGCTAGTAGGGTAAAAAGAGCTGGCTGATAATTCAATACTGGGTGTTCTTTCCTTATTCCCACTGAATTTTGCTTAAGGCAGCTAAAAATATATTACGGTCATATTTTTTTTTCCATATAAGCATTTCTGGTAGTTGGGAAAGCTGTATAGTTGTATTAGAAAGAAAAAGGGTTATGCAACTGCAGATAGGTGGGAAACCAGGTTTGCTCCTGAACAGAGGAGGGAAACGAGGCAAGCCACGCAAAAAGCACACTTGGAAAGATGCCAGACTGCAACACCAAATGAAGCTCCCTCACACAACATGTATTCAATTTTTTTTTCCTGCTTGACAGACCATCAAACAAGAAGCTTGTTTTTAACATGCGCCTGAAGACTTGATTTCCATACTAATAAGAGAGTAATGTCCAGTCACAGAGAAGACCTGGAGCTGCTTTATCACCTGTGGAACACATGCATCAGTTCTAGGTGCTTCTTCACACCATCAGCTCCAGTAGCTGTACAACAAATGCCCAAAGCTGTTCTAGCACCTTTTACCAGCAGATGATTTATATTATTCCAAAAACTAGGTGTGAGAAGGTGGAAAAATCGTACCACAAATAAGTGTGTGACTGACCACTGCTGTCCTTAATTTCAGAAGTAGCACCTGTTCTGGTTACAATTTGTTTTCAGGGTGTTGTTTTGTTTCTTCAGCTTATTAACCAGCTGCTGCAATGACAAATTCCATGCTATTTTTAAGCAGGTAACTTCCAACTGACACTGCTTTTAATAGGCTCAGGCACTCATGGTCCCCCACAAAGGTACCTCGTATTACCATGACTCACTCTTCAGACAGACAACAGTGTCTGGGCTGAAACAGGCCAGCAGGACTGAACAGGAAAATTAAGGAGACAAAGAGAGGAAGTAGCTTTTGCCTTGCAATTCCATTAAATATAAAACAGAAGTATGCCCAAGAGTCCTTTATATAGTATTAGTCCTTGTATGACATTGTGTGCAACATGGAGATGTCCTGGTGTTACACTCGTGAACACTTACTACTGTTTTGACCCTGCTGACTAACAGAGGGCAATGACTTAAGCTGTTCACAGAACCCCTCCCAGTATGCACAGGGTGCCTCAGGTACTTTTGCTCCTCTTTGAAGTCTTTTAGAGCACAGACTTAAAGAAGGTAAACAGAAGCAAATCCCTGCCTGTCTCTTCACTCACTCACTCCCCACTCAAACATCTTTGCTAGAAAGTAACAAGCTTTCCAAGTCTAACCTGTAATCTACAGAAGCACTGGGAACTTTAGGAAACATCATCTGGTTAATACTACCAGTGTAACACCCCTCACCAACCTTTCACTTGTTGCTCAGAAATAGGTTTGTGAGCCTACAAACACAGTAGGAGCATCACGCTCCTACCACTGACAGCTGTTTGACCATGCTAGCTACCCTGCTATCCTTTTCTGAGCATCTGGTCATTCAGTGGTGTCATTCAGCCATGATCTTACTTCTTTTCACTCCTCCATCCTGCTCTCTCATGTTTGTTGTTCATTATTTTTAAAGAGCACAGATTTCACAGAAACTTTCTTGTAATGGGATTAACTAATCCCCAGCTTTTTTCCCAACTAACTAATGCTTAGTCTATAATGAAAGTATGTTCTCTACACCACACACATCCTGAACACAAGTTTCTTCTTAATCTATGGTCTAGTACTTCATTTCTAAAAATACACACAGGAATGAAAAGAAACAGCCACTTTGTGGCTTCTTGCAAGAAGCCACAGACATGAATGGAAGGGTTTCTGCAACTGGAGAATTATTTGTACTCTTAACATTTCTAGCATAACTTTCAAGTATTTACTCTTCCACCAAATAGTACTAATATAAATATACACATGCCTGCCTACCTAGTTTTCAAGTACAGTGGCTTTTATTTCCTAGACAGACTTCTGGAGGTGTAGCCATGCAGCTTCAGAAGAAAAGTTCCCCAGAAGCTAACATCTCACATCCCCATATACTCTCTCCACTAAGGTCATGTTTCAGATATTTAGTTTAGATACTTAAGACTCCTCAGTCATTTTCATTAAATACCTTCTCAGCTTTTTCCAAAATGCTATTACACAAAAATGATGTACCACAAAAGGTTTTGCCTATTAACGTGGGAAATCCTCCTTCACTTTCAGTCCTCCTTCAAGAATGCAAGTCAAAATGAAAGAAGTTTTTGGGGTTTCCCCCCACTTCTACCAACTGTTTTGTTCTGTCACTTTTCAAAAATGGATTTTCTTCAATAGGACTTTGTGTTTCCTGATATCAGAAGGCCCTAGTAATCATGATTTCTTACAGGTGTCCTGTTCTGTCTTATGGAACAGAAACACACTTTCCCTTTGGAAAACCTGTTTTCCTCTCTTACTTTGTCTCATCAGTTCTGACATTTGCAGCAGTAAGAACTTCAATAGCAAAAAAGAGAGAGTATTGTTTTCCTAGAGAGTATACTCCCCTTGGACACAGGGAAATGAGAACTTCTCAATTAGTCCAAGTACAGGGAGTAATAGTCTGGAGCAGAAACCAAGGTGCAGAAAGTCGGTTTTCTTATGAGATAAGAGACAACTTTGAGAGACCACTGGGGCAGATAAAAGTTTTGGGAGACAGCAAGTAAATGGCATTTACTTTACTTAGCTTGGCATTTACTATTAGTCATGTCTAACTTTGGTTTCATTATCGTCTGCCTGAGAATGAAAAAAAGTCCTGTGGCATTATGTGTTTGCTCATAACAGACACAAGATCCCACTGCAGTTATAATTAGTATTTGGATCCATTATTGACTCCAGTTAGAAAAGCTTATACTTCGAAGCAAGTCTGCTGAGCCAGAAAGTCCCAAGAGCCATAAACAGTCAGCAGTTCTGTGGAAACCCATCATAAGGATTCTTCCCAAACCAAGCAGCTCTTAAACAGTAGTAAGTAAGCCACCTCAGCTGTGTGTACACATGTATGTGGTTGGCTTTGGGATTTCTGGGGTGGAGGGAGGGGATATGAAGGCACTCTGTTTCGGTGGTTTTGTTACTAAGGCAGGGGTGGAAGGAAGAAGGGAAAGCACAGGAGGCACTAGTGTTTGAAAGTCTTTAGAAAAAGTAACTTCAGAGTAACTAATATGGTAAAATATGGGACAAAGTTATCCAGGAGACCTGAGGTTAGGAATAAAGGCTGAGAATCTAGGCATCTTTGTAGGATAGGAAAATTCCACTTCTACGGATATCCCAAGGGCATCCTTTACAGGACAATGCCACTGCTCCTAGGACTGTGATATCCTCCATTAGGAAGGCCAGCAGATGCACAGAGCACCAAAGTAACTAT